ATGTTAAGGTGAATTAATTTTATTAGTTTAAAATATATAATATTTTTCAATTAAATAATAATTAATAATTTTAAAATTTTTATTGTGTGGGTTTGGTTCTTTAGTTAAATTATAATTTACTATTTATGACCTGTGCGACATATAAATTATTTTTATTTATTTAAATATGTATGTATAAACGCAAATTACATTTATACTTATTTTTATTATTGTAAATATTATAATAAATAAGCAAAATAAAAAAGATGAGGAATTGATTTTGCATTGGATTTTATCATGTAGTGTGCTTACTGGTGATATATTCTTTGGAAAATCATTTCTTATGCTAACTTTTTTTCCAAAAAATTTAGAATAAAAAAGTAATTAAATTATAAAATAATTATTTGATATATCATTACTATTATAATTTTAATCAAAATGCTGAAAAAATAAAAATGATAAGATGTATACAAAAAAACTAACATATATAAAATTATTTTTTAAGAAGAACAAAGTATATTATTTAAAAAAAACAAATTCATAAAAAATATTTACGTACTTTTGCAATCTTGATTAAATTGTTGAATAAAACATGTAAATTTTTAGCATATGCATGTCAAAATAAAAAATAAATTGAAAAAAATATTATCTTTTAAGAATAAAATTACAATAATAATATACTTTTAAAAGAAAAGTTGCAAAATATAAAAAAAAAATGATGAAGAATACACCAATTTTGAATGACAAACAGGAAGGCATTAATAACTTTAGAATTGTTAAATATCCTTTGAATTTAAAAGTAGTATATAATAAGTGATTTATGTATTTATTTTAATTTAAAAAATCATATAAAAAAGATAATTATAAGGAAATTTATGAAGATAAAATTTATATTTGAGATTTTTAAATTAAAAAATTATTTGCAGATTGATTTGTGATTATAATATGTACTAGACTGAATGCCTATTTTAGATATTTTAAATTTTAAAATTAAAAATTTTTTTAATTTGAAATATATCTTACATAAATTATTTACGTATATCAAAATTATTAAAAAATTTATTTAAAAAGATAATATATTTAAATTAAATTTTGCTACCAACAATTTAAAAAAATTATTTATGTAGAGATATACAAATAAACAAATTTATTGAATAATTTTTTATAAGTAAAAAAAAGTTTAAAAGATAATGTATTATCACATTTGAAAACCTTAAATTTAAAAAATATATTTCTAGATTATTAGAAAATTCATTTAATTTTAAAAAATAATATATCTAAATTAGATTTTATTGTTAATAATTTAAAAGTTTTCCAATATAAATATCCACATAATATATTTTTTGAGCAATTTCTTATGTGTCAAATAGCAAAATTATCCACATAGATGCCCATATAAGCAACACTTAATTGGTATTTTTGTATTTTGTAACATAATATTATACATGATTAGTTGATTATTTAATAATATAATAATTGATTATGTGAATATAATATTTGATTATAAGTACAATTTAAAAAAAATCATTGACACAAATATAGCTACAAAACAACCATTTAATATAGTTAAAAAAATTTATGATGTATTATTATCTTCCAAAACAATTATTATGTAATTATTGAGATCTTATCCAACATTTGTTATTGCATTTGCTTTTGGGACATGATATTATCTGGTATAAGTTCCTGTTCAATCTACAACTTATGCAACCTATTATATAAGAGTTTATTTGAATGGACAATGAAATTAATTTCGATAAGATTAAAAATAATGATAATTATGAAATTTATTATTGTAATAATGAAATTAAAATTAATTATAAGAATATATTTTTGGATGTAATTGTAGTGATGATAGTAAAAGAAATTGTAGTGAGAATAGAAATAATCATTAAAGATATTACATTAAAATTTGTATATAATAAATTTATTTTTATACTTTTTACATTTATGAGTTAATAATTAATTAGAATTTATTTCAATTATTTTTAATATCAAATAAAATTTTATCCATATTATTTTATATTAAAATAATAATTAAAATTATAAAAACACTTCAAAATATTTAATATTTGAAATATAGTACAATTACAAATTATATTTATATAATTAATCTTAAATATAAATATAAAACATATATAAAATAAACAAATTTAAATTTAAAAACAAAAAACAAAAAACAAAAAAACAATTTATGATATAGTGCTTTAGGAAATACGAAAGAAGAGACTGGGCATTATAGTCCAAAAATTCCAACTAGTCTGTGGTTCTCCACTGTACCTTGAAAGGCCCGATCATCCTCTGGAAAAATAGTGAGATTAATCTCACCGAATGAAGCTATCTAAACGAAGCTGCGATGCAATTTAAAATTGAAAAAAAAAAAAAAAAAAAAAAGGAACATAATCACACTGCACTGATGCTGCGGTTTATTCCAAATGCAGCCTAAGGTTCCATTTATGAGCATGATGAAGCATTCTTATCATATTTGAAAGGTGCATTTTAGATTAGACTTCAAATAAGTTTAAATACATACTTTCTCTCTTTAACAATTGCCTAAATAAATCTAGGAATAAGTAAGCATTTAGTAGCCCAAGGTTTATGCCTCATTTTCCCTTGCAAAATTTATGGGGAATTTATGTAAATACTTTTGCAAAATTCTAATTAAGATAGTTTTCAGGTTTTTTTAAAAAATATAAATTCGCTAATAATAAAGTATTAAATTCATTTTGAATCAAGTTTATTAATGGAAGAACTCTTGGAAAATAATACCAACTTTTATTATATATAACGTATAATGCATTTCAATAATATCTTCAACTACGATAAAAGACACAATCTAAATATACCATCAAAATTTCTTTATATGCCCTCAAATTTTTTTTTTTAAAAATATTTATATATCAAATACCAATTTTAATATTTAGTAAATAACAAAAATACTTTTAATAGTTCATACACCAAAACCCATGTCATATTTCTCAAAAATAAATTTTTGAGAGTTATATTATATTTTAAAAAATTCATTTTTGAGAAAGTAATATAATTTTTGAAAATAAATTACCGAAAACAAAACATATCTCTCAAAAAATCTATTTTCGAGAATTATGTTGCTTTCTCGAAAATAGATTTTTGAGAGTTATCATATACTCTTAAAAATTCATTTTTGAGAAAACATAATTTTTTTAAAATATATATTTAATTATAAACTCTTGTTAATGGAAAAATCAAGATTGCTAATCTTTGAACAATTGAAAAATATTATTAATAGATTGACAAATCTAATATAAAAACTAGTGGTCGAAAGATTATATATTATTGGATTTATCACTCTGTTGATGACAGTGTCAATCAAAATGTTCTATAAGGTGTTAAAGCCCAAACTAGCATGCATGAGTCATTAATGTGTTGATTCTTATTTAATTATATGTGTAAATGAAAGAGACCAAGTTCTCAAGCATACAAGGTATAAAAATTGTATTCTCAATTTTTTGAAAGCTCAAGAAAAAAAAAATTTATACCATACATGTTAAGAATATTGATTTCAATTTCATTCATACACATAATTAAATAATGGATTCTTAAGTGCATGATTAAAGTTTTTTATTAAAAGTGAAATTGAGCTTCTCGAATAAATAGATCCAAGAAGCTTCAAATATTCTTGGATATACATTTTCGAAAAGGCTCAAAACTTCTCAAAAATGGTATCCAAGAAAATAAAAAGCTTCTTAAAAATGAATATTTGAGAATTTTTAAAACTTTTCGAAAATGAATATTAGAGAAACTTTAAAAATTCTTGGATATTTATTTTCAAGAAACTCAATTTCAAGAAGTGAAAAGGAAAAAAAGAGATAAATGGTAGGAATAGAAAATAAAAATGTTAGGGGTGGAATGTAATTAGTAGAAATAAAAAAATGAATTTTAAATTTAGGATGCATATAAAAGTAGGGTATATATGACATTAAATGGGGTGCATTTAAAATTTTTCGTGACAAAAACATAAAATAGAAATGAATTTCCTAATTTTTTTAATTCATTTATTTCAAATATACCCTTTTTAATTGTTTAAGGTTTCTCTGATTATGTATGAGTGTGCCAAATTGCAAATAATAAAAACATCCCTTTTCCATGTTTAATTCCCTTTAATCTCTATGGAATTGTTTATACTTGTTACAATAATATTTTTGTATGTTTAGAATATGTTAAACAGCATAACGATCTCACTTGTTGCTGACTTCTTTGTGGGGAAAAAATAAGATTAAATAAATAAATAAATAAAATCATTTTGAAATTTTATGCAATGTTCAAATTGCAATGCTATTTTCATTTTGTTTGATGTCTACTTTAGACTTCTTAATTTAACTAAAAAAATACTGTCACGTGCTTTATTGCTAAAATCGACTTTTAATTTGAACAATATCAAATTTTGACAACATCAAACACAAAAATAAACCTACAAAAAAATTTAACTACATATACCCTTCTTTATTCGATACTTGCCTCAATTCGAGCAACATACGTTAAAGTTTAAATTCAAGAAAACATTAAAGACATAAAAATGTAGTACAAATAACTCCAATGTATTTATGGAAATATAGAGACATAGTTTGAGTGCATTTTATTTATAATTTTTTTATTACAATTTTATAATTATTCAATTGTAATAAAAAATTACATAATAGTTCATAATTATAAGTTTAAATTATATATAAAATTTGATGAATCTACGTCATTATAAATTATGATTAATTAATTAATTATAATATAATGATGATAAATAATATGTTTTGTAAATTTGAAAAAAAAAAGACATAGGGAGGGAGGGAGGGAGGGAGAGGGAGTCCATGTCCTCTCCATTGCATAAACTGTTGAAAAATGAATAGAACTATAACATTAAAATAAAATGAAAATGGGACCCATGTGGGTGCAAATGCAATTTTGAAAATTGAAAACGGCTCGACCCAATCAGAAACCTGCCATTGCTGCAGCAGTAACCATCTCATAAGGCAACAAAAAAAATAGAGCCTATTCCACCGAGCCTTGCCTTATACTCTTCCTCGTCTTCATTTCTCCTTCCTTTTTTTCCTTTTAATTGAGACTAAAACACTCCTTTTTTTAGCAAAAGCAAAACCCGAATAACAAATAATAATTAAAGAAAACCCCAGAAAAAAAAAGCATGTTTTTTTAGAGCAATTTACTGCTCAAAAGCGTTACGTTTGGCATCACTTCAGAATCTGCTGCTTGGAAAGAGAAACTGAAGTTGAACAATAAAAACGAAGTATAGAAAAAAAAAAGTCTTTAATAGTGAAAGGAATTGATTTTCATTGAGAGAGAAAGAAGAATTAAGAGTTGGATTTCTATTTTGGGTTGGTTATGGCTTTTTGCTCTATGATTTGTTGTGGGAAAGGCGTGGATCGGTATGTATATCATTGATTTACTACCTATCATTCCTGTTTTGTTTGTTTTCAAATTTTCTTTCTTTTGGAAGGTTTTGTTGGGTTTTCTGAGTGAATTTGGTTTTGGATTTTTCAGGGATGATAAGGGTTTAAGAAATCTGGGTTTTATTTATATTTTGAAACTATCATCTGGGTATCTTTTTTCTTTTTTTTACTGTTATGTTGAATTTACAAGAAAGGAAGAAGAATAAGATAATCTAAAGTTTTGAACTTTCTTCCCTTTTGGAAGTGTGGTTCAAGTAAGAAGATAATTAATTTAGCTTAATATAGCTAGCTGGTTTTCATTTAAGCTTAAATTTTCGTACTTTAGAGTCAAATTTACCGGGATATGTTGATCTTCATCTTAGAAAAAAAAGGGGTTTTTTGGCAGTCAATATTGTGTTTTTTCCTTGATTTACTTTGTTTATGTTGTTTCATGTGTCTGTCGATTGGGTTTTAATGTCTAACATTATATCATTCTACAGGAAGGAGAAAAGGAAGAAGGAGCCGACATGGAGGATTTTTTCATTGAAAGAGTTGCATTCAGCTACCAATAATTTCAATTATGATAACAAGCTCGGAGAAGGGGGATTTGGCAGTGTCTATTGGGGTCAGCTATGGGATGGATCTCAGGTATGAATGATTTTTCCTTTTTGGGGTTCTTTTAACAAGATAATTGCTATTTTGGCATCCTATGTTTCCCTAAGTTTGTTGTTTTGAAAGATTGGTTGGTTATACATAGTTATGCCTGTATATGGTTCACTTCTTTTCTTCCTTTGTATGATTGTTCTTCTTTTGGAATTTGAGTTAATAGATTCTGTTGTCGATCTGACAAAAACTTCGGTAAATTTGAATGTTTTAGCGTGCATTTTACTTTAGTTTTGAATCTAGTTTACTAATGTGAAAACTGTTTAAATCATAAGAAAATTGTTCTACCATGCAAGGACATTCCCGGCCTGGCTACTGTTATTTTTTCTGGTCAATATTTATATGAATCTCATTTAATGCTGAAGAATAGGCATCACTCTTGAAGTAATGGTGAAGGAGTTTCTTTCCAAATGGATTGGTAATAAGGTCAGATGTGTTAAAACTTCCAGCTAAAACTGTTCAGCAATAGGTGAAAAGGGCTAACTTAATAGAGCCAAACATACCTCAAATAAAAATGATGTGAACAAGAGCACTTAATACTCCCTCGTAATAGGTGCAATGGTACAACTGAGACATGTGGCCCTATTGGTTGATTGTAAAGATGGGGACAGAAATGCAAATGGCTAGAAGAAACGTAGTTGACCTCCTTAGTTCTATTAATCCTATGTCAATCTCAAATTTCTTCCTAAATGATATTTCCATCTTTTATGTGGTTATTGTTCATGTTTTCTTCTTTCTTTTATTTATATAAGTTAGATCAAGCTCTGATACTTGTAAAGAAATTTGTGAGTTACACCAATAATAACGTGAATTTTTTGAGTTACAACAGAATGATAAGACAGTGAGAATTTCTTTTCCCTTTGTGGTGAAAAAATATGGGTGGCGTAGCATTTTAAAGAGTATAAAACATTAGTATCCAAACTGTTTCAACAAGAGCGCAACGTCAAATGTTTGTTTTCTGCTATTATGAGGGGTTCATATACGATTCATGATCATGGTTGTATAGGTTTGTGCCAGAGCTCTAAAAGTTGAAGCCAGAGTTGGAAACTAGGAATATCATCAATTGACTTTTGTTTTCATTTTTGTTTTTCCTTACAGTTTAGTAAAATCCCTAATATTTATAACTTTAGCAGCATACTGGAGGTATCTGTTTATCTTATATGCTAAAATATCTAGCTCTTCATGGAAAATGCAATTCAGACTTCTCTAGGATGGGATTTGTATTGACAGCAGTATAAAATAACATGCTATAATGATCTTTGTTAGATTCATGTTCATTTGCAATAGGAAAGTTGAAAAGGTAGTCTATGATGTTGTACCATCCTTTTCTCTGGACTCAGCTAGTATTGATGCATCCAATTTCTGGGAAAGTTCTATTGCAATATCAAAATTGTTGAATGCATCAGTTTTATCAATTGTTGAATGGTCAACACATTACTTGATGGAATTTTAGGACTTCTGTGGTCTTCAAAATAGCATCTCTCTTTCTCTAAACACATACATGCTTATAGGATTGCGTCTATGTACATGGCATGTGTAAGTAGCCATTTGGATGATACTTTTGGAATTCCATATTTATTTCTGTTACAATCAAAAGAAACTTCTTGAAGTTTTTCTACTGCTTTGTTTTTCTTTCAGTTTGATTCTCATCCTCGAAGTTATATACTTGCAGATTGCAGTTAAGAGATTGAAGGTGTGGAGCAACAAAGCAGAAGTGGAATTTTCTGTTGAGGTTGAGATATTGGCCAGAGTTCGACACAAGAATCTACTGAGTTTACGTGGCTACTGTGCGGAAGGGCAAGAACGTCTGATTGTATATGACTACATGCCCAATTTGAGTTTGCTTTCACATCTTCATGGGCACCATTCAGCTGAATGCCTTCTTGATTGGACCAGAAGGATGACTATTGCAATTGGCTCTGCTGAGGGAATTGCGTAAGTGTTGGACCAAATTTTCTTTCCTATATTATAACTTGTTCTGACATGAATGCTAACCTCAAACTCTTTCAATTGATTGCTTCAGCTATCTTCACCACCATTCAACCCCACACATAATTCATAGAGACATCAAAGCTAGTAATGTGTTGCTTGATTCAGATTTCCGGCCTCAGGTTGCTGATTTCGGGTTTGCTAAGTTTATTCCTGATGGTGCAACACATGTGACTACTCAAGTCAAGGGTACCCTTGGCTACCTTGCTCCTGAATATGCCATGTTAGGAAAAGCCTCAGAGAGTTGTGATGTATACAGCTTTGGCATTCTTTTGCTAGAGCTTGCCAGTGGCAAGAAACCCCTGGAGAAGCAGAGCGCAACATTGAAGCGCTCGATTGCAGAATGGGCTTTGCCACTAGCCTGTGAGGGGAAGTTCAGTGAAGTGGCAGATCCAAGGCTGAATGGAAAGTATGTGGAAGAGGAGTTGAAAAGGGTTGTCCTTGTAGCACTTGTATGTGCTGATAATAGGCCCGAGAAAAGACCAACCATGCTTGAAGTTCTTGAGCTGCTCAAGGGAGAGCCGAAAGTGAAATTAGCTGAACTAGAAAGTAATGAACTGTTCAAAAACCCCCAGTCTGGTGTTTGCAGTGATGGGATATCATCGGCTGCTGAAGAGAGCTCAGACATAATAAAGGAAGAGGATCCAAAGCCAGTGAAGGAGACTGAGCACGAAAAGACTCAAGACGGCTAACGCCTTGGACAAATTGCAGTATTAGATGTGAAATTTGTATTTTTGGTTTTGTTTAACTTATTAAGAGGTGGCACTGGCTGTCCATGGTTAGAATTGCCAGCAATATTGGCCACGTTGTAATATGGAAGCATGTTTTTATGAGTGCCATGGGATATGTTTGGGGGCCAACTTGTCTTTTGCTTTTGTTTTCATATAAACATTTGGTGTCTGCTGGGTGTTACATCTATGAATCTCAGATAACTGAGGACATTGGCAGACATTTGAGTTTGAGATTGCTGCTTGTGAGATAGGCATTTTAAGTGAGACATTCATTGCTTGTGGAATGCATTTTTATTATTTTTAAAAGAAGGCCAAAGAAAAAAAAAATAGAAGGGGTTTCACTTCAAACGATGTTCTCTTGTATATTTGTATTTGTGGATGTAATATTTAAATTGTGTAAAGCACACTATTGTATCAATTTGTATCGAATATAAAAAATATATATTTTTTAATTTTAACAAATTTATGATATTTTTTAAAATTTTAAATATTATTTTTGTATATTTTCATATAATTATTAAATCTAGATCTTATTATCAGGCAATGCAGGAAGCATGGAGTAATGGAACAGGGCATTCACCAATGAATTGAAACATGATAACAATGACAAATTTTTAGGGGTTAAAATCAAAATATGCTTTGCGCATATATTTACAACTAATTCAGCAATTGTTACAGCAGGGTTAAGGTACATGAAACTATCCATCCAAAAGTTTAGGGCTCTACTACTAATTTGGGCACACCACTGAAAGAAGTGAGCAAGTGTTTTTCATAGGACTAAGATACAAAAACTAGAAACAAGGTAATATGAATAGGTTCAGGTAAATGTATCCTCCCGATCCACTTCCGTAGTCTCACCTTCCTCCAAGTTGCTGAACTCGAGGAAATGAGTGGGCCTGTGGTCCTCGTTGTAGTATTCTCTTGGTGTCCCAAGCTTCACCCCGTATTTCATGCTTACTGTATGCTTCACTCCCATGAAATTGTAGTTCCATGGACCATTGTCAGGGATCTATAACAAAAACAAAGTACACATTGCCAGTCCCTGAACAAGACTTGCTACAATATATATATATATATATATATATATATATATATGATCATAGGGTTAATGTTGCTATTGACCTCTAAATTCCAAGAAAATATTTAATGTGATATCTAAATTTTAAAAATTTTTGATATGATACTTGAATTATAAATTTGTTAACTGATATGATACTTAAAGGACTATTTGTTCATCAAATGTTATTATTTGAAGCTAACCACATTAAGTATAAATATTACATTAGTTAACAAATTTATAGTTCAGATACCACATTAGAAATTTTTAAAGTTTAGATATCACATTATATTTTATTATAGTTAAAGAATCATTCATATCATGATAACAATATGAATGGAAGTTCAGGAACACTAGTCAATGAAAATATTCTTACCATACAAAATCCGAGGAACCGGTCACTTAAGAGCATCTGCACCTTCTCGTAATGAATTGGAAGGTAACCATGAGGATTGCTTCCTGTATCTTTGTTAACCGACCCCACTCGTAACCACTTGGAGCAAGCTTGTATGCTGTTAATGAGCAAGACCCTGGGGTAAAACTGCATGTCAAGATAGTGCAATTCTCTCCGTCCCACTGCTTGTTGTTCCATAAAATTCGAGCATGGGCTGTAACATCCTGTGATTATAAATGCATGATAAGACAATTAGCAGTTTACAACATTAGATTTGCAATGGATAAACCACACCAACACTGAAATATACCATCAAATTGAACATCAATAAACAAACTAAACACAAACCTGAGGCGGCAATTGAGGAAGCTCATTTAGCTGTTTGTGCATTCATCCCAAAAGCACCAGATCATTCAAGAAATCATGTTCAGGAAGAGCTGATGGAAGATGAACTTGCTGATGAGTACCCCAATGTGGTGGCGTGGCAATGCAGCGAATTTCCTTAACCTGAGGATTATCAGGAGGGCTTATTCCATACAAGCATCCAGAATTTGAGTCCGGAGATCTGCCATGCAGATGAACTTCTTTAAAATGTTCTTTGGCATGATATAAGTGTAACCAGTTTCCTGCATCATTAATTTTGATCAATGTCCGCAGATAGATAAGCTCAATCATCACTAGATCTCAAATAAGTCAAATATGTACCTTAATGTCCTCTCAATTCACATATATATGATTGACTCGAGGATAAAGATTTATAGCTGATATTGCTCTAACATACCAATCTGTCTTGGACCAAATGCTGCTTGCTCATAGGGACTTGTGGTGGTGACAATGAGCTCATCACAATGCACATTTGTAGTCCTAGTTGTCACAGCTGTCAGCTGGCTTACCCATTTTGCCTGAAAATACGAGTTTGTTTTTTTTAAAAAAAAGCTCCAAGTTAGTAATATTCTTTTAGCAAGAAATATGTTTTCTTTAATATATAAATATATAAAAGTCAGCAACACATAGCCATGTCAAATAAGCAAATCATAAATAAAACGACAAATGCAGAATAGAATATAACCTGTTTTTCAATCTCTGCTATCTGCTGCCTCTGTTGAGAGGGCGGAGTAATCTCAGCTCCACGAATAATGTGACGAATCTCAGACTGTGTGAGGGCTGATGTGTTCACATTGTTCTTTTAGGCATAGTCAGAGAGTATGAGATCACTTAGAGCAACTTCCACCTGCACCATGAAATCATCTTTAGTGTAGTGTGTTGCAATGCCAGATGCATGCTACTAATTGGCAAAAGCATTATGAGTAAGAAAAAAGCCCACCTTCATCCATTGATCATTGGTTAGAGAATGCCAGATATGGTGTGGCTCAGTAATGATTGTCTTGTCAGGTTTCAATAGCATCTTAGCCTTCTCATTGTTCACATGAAGCACACGAAGGATCAGAATGAGTAGGGACAATGCAGCGTATGATGAGATACTCTTCAACCAGTCATCATAGATATTGAACAAAACCATTTGTGGTTCTGTAGCCTTCAGAATCAGATCACCAAATTTCTCAATTTTCAAGCAAGCCTGGAGTGGTGGTTGCAGCTCACTTCCCTTGATGACTATGTTAAGGAAATCCAGCAAATGAACCTCCAAAGGATCAAGCATTCCCTTTCGAGTAACAATGATTTGCTTTGGTTGTTCTTCAACAGGCAAAGACCGCACAAAGGCAGCAACTTCTTCAGCAGTTTTCCACTTGGCAAGCTGACCAAGATGCTTTTGACCAGCCCACACACTCGTGTGAATGACCTGCAAGAGAGAAATGTTCTCCAGTTGAGATCTTCACAATGGACAAACTAGCTTAGAAAACAAATGCTTATATGAAGAAACAAACCTTTAGGAACAACTGTCCAGTACATGGTTTGAATATAGAGATGAAACCATTAATGGGTTTTGTTGTGAGATTCCCTTCAAATGTCTTATGGATTGTCACTCGATACACATTGGTGTCGTCAACAAACCAAATAATCTGGTTGCTGAAGATCTACCCATAGTTTTGGGATGAAAGATATGGCTCAGTGGGCTCAGAAGAATACAAGTGCAAACCTTTCCTTATCTGTTCCCTTAAAACATATAAAGCCAGATTCGACTGTACAAGGGTAAAGAAATAATTAGTTGAACCCTTGACATGTATAGCTATACTAGTATTTAACAACAAATGTAGCTTCAAACATCTGAATTATTAAATTATATTAAGTATCTATTCACCTATTTTAAATAAGTAAAACTATGTTACCTTCATGATCTTATTCATTGCCTGAGCAAGCAATGGCTTTGATCCAGGGAACCAGTTACCAAATGCAGAATGCAAGTCGTAAGCTAGATCAAGACCAATTATCACCCCTACATAAAGACAAAAGATGATCAGATCAGGCCAGAGGAAACAAAGGCATAAATAGAGTAGGAAGAATAAGGGAAAAGGAATCGAAAATTTACCACTAGGAGATGGATAAATAGACATGTTATCTGTGGTATAATCCATAAATTTGGCTCGTGTGTAACGCTTGATATCATGTGAGTCATAATCTCCCCACCAGAGCTGTACGTCTATCCAATATTTATTGCTTGCTTGTTGATCAAACATGTCCTTGGACTCTGCCACAAGAATAGGCTTTGACACAAGAGCTGTTCATCTTGTAACTCTTCCTAGGATGGATCGTCTCCTTCTGAACAGTTTCAATTTCAAAAGCATCCAACTCCTGATCTAAGACTTGGCAAAGATCCATAACCACTCTTTCATGAATTTTTTGCCACAAATGGGCACGGAAAATTTGAATCACAGATATTTTCAAGGTTGGGATCTTCCCATGCATGAAAATTCCAGTTAGATCTAGTTGCACTTGAAAACCCACATAAACATTAGCCTGATTGATTGTAGGTGACCACCAAAGAGTAAACCTACGGTTAGGAATCTGGTTAAGACCAGATCTCTGAGCATTAGTGAGCTTCTTATACTTCATTGACTCCTCAAATCCAGAAGCTTTTTCCCAAAACAGACCCTCCCAAGTTGGAAAGCTGTAATTTCAGGAATGAAAGAAAACATAAAATAAGATATGACAATCCAAAATCATTAATAACCATAGTAATCAGATAAGTGATCTATGAAATATATAAATAAACTAAAACTAAACAAGTACTTACTAAGTTCCTTTAAACAAGGTATGTTCTAGAATTCCCTCAACACCTCCCAGAGCTTGGATGACATCAGTTCAATAGTTGTTCAAGTTCCACAATTTGCCATCATGCCTTTGGTCAGTCCACCAGAATGGGTTCTGCTTCAAAACTTGGTACTGCTTAAAGTCTGTACATACTCTCCATCCTGTATCATAAGGTAACGTGTGCCTGTCGTCCTGAAACAAAGTATTTATCAGTGGTATTCCCCGATCCCATGAATCTGTTAATAAATCAGGGAGAATATCATCAGAACACAATTTCCTTGTAACAGAAAAATCATATAATGCAAAAATTACACTGAACGCATAAATGGTTAGAAGCACAATCATATGGAAAAATGTAACAAGAGGAAAATGCCAAAGGAAGATGGCATTAGAAAACAATAATTGCTTAAGAAGATGAAAAAGAAGGAAACTCACTTCCAAATCCTCAAGGGTTAGGCATCTATTTTGTGCCTGAGCTTCCTGCCTTTTTAGTGCATACTCTGCCCAAACACGCTGCGAGTCTATGAACTCACTCTCCCATGGCTGTTAAAAATCAGCAAGATGATCAAAGAATGAAAGAATTCTAAAAAAAGATCACATAAAAAAGAGAAATTGATTTTACCTCTCTGTAATGATAAAGATTTGGAATAAGCTGTTCCTCTACATGACTCATTCCACTCCTAAAATAAGTTATACCAACATCAGTCTGCTGACTGTACGGAGGTCACTGTGGAATCAACGTGTGATCCATTGATAACATGCCAAGTCGTCCA